GCAGCTACAGTTGCCTTGGCTAATTGCTCTCCAAATTGCCCCTGGGTATGAGTTAGGTTGTTTGTTCTGTGTTTCTCTATGTTGCCATGTGATGGACTGGTCACCTGTCCAGGGTGTACTCCTTATCTCACCCAATGGCTGCTGGATTCCAGTCTCCACAGGACATTCCCATATTAACAATGTGAAACTCTCTGTCTTTTCTGTGCAGGACTCCAGGGCGTATTTCCACCTGCTGCAGCAGATCGCTCCAGATGGCAGCAAAGAGGATGTTCCTCGGATTGAGATCGACATGACTGGTCTTTATGTGAGTCTGCAGCTTCAGCAGCCTGCTTTCATTTTCCTCTGGGTGTTTGCGCATTCTTCAAATGTCTTCAATTTATGAAAAAAAATAAGTTGGCCTTAAATGCATTCACATTGGTCTCAAATTTTATTGTGGTCGGACTATTTAATCTTGTATATTCTGTAGTTTTTTTTTTGTTTTTGTTTTTTTTTTTGATGGAGAGTACTGTTATGTGAAAGTTTAAGTCAGACTCAGACATCTAAACTGTGGCATTCTGTGGCCGGAGGCGGTAGCAGCCACAGGTGTGGTACCTAGATGCTAATACACTTGCTAGTTAGCTAGCTAGCTAATATTTCCAGCTAGCTAGTAAGGTTAAATCTAGCTGGCTTTTTTTCTACAGCCATCATGGGTAAGTGCAGATTTATTTTATCGTCAGTTATCTGAACAATATTGGTCTCACCATTGGCTCACTTCTGTTGCCAACCCCTGTAATTTATTTATAAGCATTTTTTTGTACATTTCCTTTATGTTAGGTCTTAAATTCCATTCATAATGGTCTTAAAAGGTTTTTAAAACGTCTTAATTTGTGTTGGTGATCTCTGCAGACACCCTGTTCCTTTACTTTAGTGATATTACAACATCAATCACTCTAAACTGGTGAACACAACAGAAACTGGTGGTCATGTCACAGAGTCAATCTTGAATCTTTTTTCCAGTTCAGACTAAACTCAGTTTAGGATGTTTATTGACGTGACCGTTCAGGCCGAATGGAAGTTGTTTATCTTCTTCCTGCTTCCTGTGGGTTATTTTAAGCTCGGGATATCATTCCGACTGGAGCGCATGTCATAGGCTGACTCTGTTTTTCTGAGTGGGATTTTTGTATTTTGTTCACCCTCAGGTTCCCACAGGAGACCTGGGAAACAATTTGGAAAAACAAAATTAAAATGGGGGGATTTCAAACTTAATTCCATGAGGGCAAGAAAAAGTCAGACTTTTCTTCATTTCAAATCAACTGACACATATCAGTGTCAGTTGATCCATTTTCTTTACACCCTTGTCCCTTAGTGGGGTCGGGAGGGGTGCTAGTGCCTATCTCCAGCTGATGTTCCGGGGTACACCTTGGACGGGTCGCCAGTCTGTCGCAGGGCAACACAGGACAAACAACCATGCACACACACATCTAGGGGCAATTTGAAGAGGCCAATTAACCTGATAGTAATGTTTTTGGACCGTGGGAGGAAACGGAGTACCCGGAGAAAACTCACGCATGCACAGGGAGAACATGCAAACTCCATGCAGAAAGACTGGGGCTGGGAATCGAACCCAGAACCTTCTTGCTGCCAGGCAACAGCTCTACCAACTGTGCAGCCCACGCAGCCAATTTGTGGACTTTATTTCTTTCTTCCAGTCTTTGCAGTCAGATCCAACAAAAACTTAAAAAAACATTACAGACATCGTTCTTAAGTTATTTGTCATACATAAAGGATAAAATACACACCCGATAATATCAGGAAAAATGTTGCTTGGCAACATGTTGGAAAGAAACATATATACTTTTTGTATCCATGAACAAATTTCTGGCATAATTCTTGTTTCTTTTTCAACAGAAACATTATAATTTATTTGAGCTTATTTGACTTGACTTTTAGTTGTAGTTTGTAAATTTTCACTTGGGTCGAACTTGTACAGATATAATATTGCAACCGTAGCCAAAAGTATTAGCTGAATAGGATGGTTAGCTATTCAGCTAACTACCTGCGATTAGCTAAATTTCAAAATACTTGAGCCTCTTTCGGGAAACAATTAGAACTGTATATTTTAATAATTCACACACCAAATATGTATCAATGAAAACTGTCCTATCACTACCGCAAGAGCTAACATCCACAGACTTCCTTATTTTCACTGTTAGGATACAGCCACTCAGTGCAAAGTATTGTTTTTCTTTCTTGTGTCAATCTTAATAGAATGTCATAACTGTCACAATAAACGAGCCAAAAAAATGGAAATGTTTTTTTTTTTATCTTAAAAAGTTATTTGTCTATGTAGTAGTCATTCATTCAGAGTTATTGATGCTCTTTTGTGGTATTTGTGAGACGTTTCTTGCTCTAAAACGTGACATTGCGTTTGGGTCTCTAGGAGCAAGACCTCAAAAAGAGAGCAGAGTGTCTGCTGAAGCAGGCCGACCGGCTGGGCTGCCGTCAGTTTGTGACTGCCACCGACATCGTGACAGGAAACGCCAAACTCAACCTGGCCTTCGTGGCCACGCTCTTCAACAAGTACCCGGCGCTCACCAAACCCGAAAACCAGGAGTGGAATCTTGAAAGTAAAGCACGGATACGACTTTCTTGAAACTTTTTTTCCCCCCACCTATTTCCAGACTTGTGTGGGCTTCATTATCCTCCTTGACTTTGTTTTAGGTGAGACGAGAGAGGAGAGAACCTTCAGGAACTGGATGAACTCGCTGGGAGTCAGTCCACACGTTCACTACATCTATGGGTCAGTGGCTCTCTTTCTGCCGCGGGGGCGTTCTTCCATTCACTGGCTCATCGACGTGTTTGTGTTTGCATGCAGAGATCTGCAGGACGCCATGGTGATTTTGCAGCTTTATGAAAAGATTAAAGTGAAGGTAGACTGGGACAACAGAGTCAACCTTCCTCCCTTCAAGGGACGAGGAGGTCACTTAAAGAAGGTCAGTTTGGAAATACAGAAAGACTTAAGACTGTTAATCGGAGTAGATCTGAATGTGTTTGCGTCTTTTTCTTATACAGATTGAAAACTGTAACTACGCTGTGGAGCTGGGGAAGAAAAAAGCCGGCTTTTCCCTGGTGGGAATCGGAGGTCAGGACCTGAATGAGGGAAATGAGACTCTCACCCTTGCCTTGGTGTGGCAGCTGATGAGGAGGTGATTTGACTTTTCACTTTCTGGCTCGCAGAGTCAGCATCTGCTGAGGACGATGGGGGTTGCTATGCAGTTCTGGAGAGGGAGGGGGTGCTGTTTGTCCAGCTTTGAGTCTGAGTAATTAGCATTTTCAGAGGCTTCCTCAACCCTGACAGCATATGAACTTTATGGAAAATTTGAGATTCATTTTGAATATGTGTTATTTTTATTTTTAAAACATTGTGGTATTGGTTATACTGAAGGCTAATAATAATGACCGACATGGTGCAGGTACACTTTAAACGTCCTGGAGGACCTCGGACATGGTGAAGTTGCTGGAGACGATTTGATCATCTCGTGGGTCAATAAGGCTCTGAAGGAAGCCGGCAAGAGTTCCTCCATCAAAACCTTTAAGGCAAGTGACACAAACCCATACGGTCCCTTTCCCAGTGTTTCCTGGGATTTTATGTGAGACATTAAACTTTAATAGCTGAATCAAGAAATAAAACACCAACCTCGGAAGACTTGTGTCATTGTTTAGAAGTTGTATAATTGATAGTTAGACTCAACCTCTGTCTAATTTCCTCAAAGGTTTGGTTCAGAGATCCATGGGCAGCAATAGCATGTCCCAAATGTTTGTCAAAAGTTTTTAGAGGGATTCAACGAGTGGTGGGCACCACTAACTAAAGTGTTAGCTATGCTATCCCTGAACCATGAGTCACAATACTAGTTCTGCTAATGTTAAAATGGTACCCCCACATAGGATTTAGTAGAAGCTAATGGTAAAGTGCTACACCAACATGCTATTTAGTTTAAGCTAATGCCAAAAGCTAAAAGCTAAGTGTGCTAAATACTTTCAAAGTTAGCAAAATCACTAAATTGCTAAGCAACAAATTAGCTCTGTTATTAGCGCAGTAGTGGATTAGCGGAAGTGTCAACAATAGTAAATAAGCAGCCAGATGTTCATGTATTAGGACGGCCTGAAGCTAATAGAAGTTTTGCTAATTTGCTGTGTGTGCCTGTCTGTTTAGGACAAAGCCATTAGCACCAGCCTTCCAGTGCTGGACCTGATTGATGCCATTCAGCCGCAGAGCGTGAACTTTGACCTGGTGAAAAGAGACAATCTCTCAGATGAAGATAAACTGGACAATGCCAAGTAATCACCTCTAACAAATCTGATCATGTAGTGGGGCTAAGAAGCTTTGCTTTTCTCCTTGTCGGAGATAATAGTTACTTTTACTTAGCAAGACGTTACCACAGTAATCCTTTGTTTAAACCTTTCTTGCCCCAGGTATGCCATCTCCATGGCAAGGAAGATCGGCGCTAAAGTCTACGCCCTGCCTGAGGACTTGGTAGAAGTCAACCCCAAAATGGTGATGACCATCTTTGCCTGCCTGATGGGGCGGGGCATGAAGAAGGCTTAAAGAGCACCGCGTACACATCTAAACGCACACACACACACACACACACACACACACACACACACACACACACACACACACACAGGGACTGTCTTCATCTGCTGAAACATAAAGGCAGTGAACACGGTGTAGAAGTTTGTCCTGACTTCCTGTCTTTAAACAGAAACAGGAAACTAAAGCTAAAACGTCAATGGTTCAAACATCGTTCTTCCTGACATTTAGGTTTAAAATTGATTGTTTGTTTCAGCGACCACTTGCTCACCAGTAGAGAAAAGTAGAAATAGTGTCTTTAAATTTGAAAGTTGTGACACATGGGGAACATCGGGGTGATTCTTTTCCAGTTTCCGGTTGTACGATGGGGTTTTTTCTCCTCTCTCATCTTATCCTTATATTTTCTGTTTTTTTCCATGATATCCTCATGTGTCCTTCTTTCTCAGTTCTGCTGTGTGCCAGCCTGTTCACAGGATAAGCATTTATCACAATTAAGCCATATTGATCTTCACAGAATGCCTTTTATTGTAAAATTTGCAGTCTGACAGAAGCCTTGTTATGTCATAGATAGTCTTAAAGCTGAAAGTCATTTATTAGTAAACCTGATTTTATTGGGATAAAAGCAGGATGAGTATAAACTATCCAACCAAATCCATCCAAACGTTGTACTTTATTGTGTATTTTAAACGACAAGATCACATAAAAAAAATCAAGTCTGGGTATTTTCTGTTGACTTCTAAATAAAAAAAAAGTCATATTGATAACTGAAAAGTCTTGTACTTATAGCGAAAGATTATTTCATCCTGATTGATTTCCAAGTGATACTGTTTTCATAGAATATTACAACAGTACAGTTAATAAATAAAAATTGCAGGTCAGTCTAAGCAGAATTATTGTTAATTTTACATCTGCAAAATCTGTGTTTATATCCTCACCCTTATTAACACACCATAAGTGTAATATCAACGAGGGAAAATGATTCACAACCAAATTACGAACGAATGGTGAAACTCATCACGTTGCTACGTCTTCATACATTCCACTGCTGCTGTAGCTTTTCAAAACTCCACTAATATCCACTACAGTTTCCTGCCTTCCAGTCGTTTCAATGTAATGTAAATTGCTTTCAAATACATTCTATTGAGAATGACTGTACAATCAGATCTCTTGTCTCAAATAAATACCTTATTTCATTTGTCTTTGCAGTCTTCTTTGCATTATTCTGCATAAATGTCCCACTAGGATATGTAAATATGTTATATGCCCTTTACGTAGTAAACCTGTTATTGTTTATTTGAGAAATGACCACAATTCACTACTTCTATCAGGGACAGGTGTCACATTTCTCATTTTTTTCCTCTATTCACTGTACATATTTGGTCATTTTCTGTGCATCCAGCATCAGTTTCAGACATATTGGTTTTTGTTCAGAACATGCAGTTTTATGCCAAAATATTACCATGTTCAGCTAATCAACAGATAGCATGACACAAACATCCACTGCTATACTGATGATACTCTGCTGTATCAATCCATACATCTTGATGAATTCTGATGGGTTTCCTTAGTAAACTTTTTAAGCCAATTTGAATAAATTGAACTTTACTGCACTGTTTGATAACCACGATCAAGTGGAATGTATGTATGATTGGATCGAAATAACTTTTATAATAAAGTACTTTGAGATGACGTGCTATGAATTGAATTAAATAGTCTTAGACCAGTGTTAAAGGGGCGCTATTATCTGGTTTCCAGGTACATAGTACCATTATATAGTACAATCAAATAACTGTGTTAATATCAGTTGTTGTAAAAATGCTGTATTTATCAATGGTGATTTAAAAGAAATTTAACTTCATAATTCAATGCTTTGAAATTGGGCCTCTGTCTCTTTAAAAACTACAACTATTTCTGAAGCTCTCCCGTCAGGAAGTCATCACAACATGGTGGGGAAGGCTTCTCTGTGAGGCAGTGACTCGGAAACTGCACTGCAGAGGAGGACCTGTGCCTTGAAGGCGGAGCTAGGTCCACCTAGGTGTTTTTCACAGCTGAATGGTTGCTATGGAGATGTTTTTTCTATGAAGGAATAACATTATAACATGATGTACAGCTGAAAAAAAAATTCTACATAATTGTGGCCCTCGAAGGTTGCCTTAGCCGCAATGGTTATGACTAAAGATCAAAACTGTTTGTCTTATTTTATTCATCAAACACAATCCAAAAACAACTGATGAAAATAATCAAGGTAGTACGAACTCTGACCTTTTCATTCAACGTTGTTCTGTTCTAGAAAGCAGGATGTGTGACGTTTTCAATCGCTGGTACCCACAGATCACCGCTTCCTTCCTTTTGGTCTATTTTTCTATTATTTACAACTGAACATAATCTGCTGAGCGTTATCTTTTAACGGTCAAATTAAAGGTAGAGAAATGTTTCTCTTCCACATGGAGCGTAAATAATGTTTCCTGACAGAAATATTCAGATGTGGCCATCAAGACATTTCTCAGCTTCAGTAACCTAGAGATAACATGAAGACACAATCGCAGCCCAGAGGCCACTTCAAACAGGGTTCTTGAATTCAGATGAGTTTGGTGGTTTAAAAGGAACACACACACATGCGCTCACACACACGCATATGTACAATTTACAATTTAAATGAAGCTTTTTCAAGTGCACCATGTGATCATCCCTTTTATTGGTTACATTTGTCCGCTTCATCCATTTCAGCCGTCCTCTGTGTATTCGTATCTCCATTATGCTGACAGTAATGAGAAGCTTGAAAAAAGCTGCACACACAGAACCAGGTGGAAACAAATCAACTGAACATGAGGATTGATTTGGAGACTTGACACAGCAAACGTCTGGAGGACAGGGGATCCATCAGGTTAGTGAACTTGTACCATGCTACTCTCTCTTCATTTCCTGCCCACCAGCTTGTTGCTAAGCCATTTCTGCGGCAATGCCTGGTGCAGCATGACCTCAGGATGACCTTCTTTTGCTGATACTTGTATGTTCTTTTGTTTTTTGTTTTTTTATGTGACTGGAAGCTTGTTTTGGACATGTTCATATGTGACCCAGTGTCTGTTTGGTGTCACGGTTGTAACACAACAGATAAAAGAGCAGAACCACGTTGTGTTTTTGTGTGAGCAGCATGACGGGTCCACTGCACGATTCCCACAGGTTGTCTGTGAAAACATGGACGGAGGAGGATAGTGATCGTGCTGAGAGCACACTCAGCAGGTACACACACACGAGGACTTTTAAAAAGATCTGTGCTTTTTATGTATTTTTAAATTAGTGTGGCTTGGTACTATGGTTAACTAAGCAACCAAAATCAACTGCTGCTGCTTGAGTTAAAGTATAATTTTACTATTTATCAAACTAATCTGAATTTACAAGTTGGGATGAACCGATACTAAAATTTGGGCTGACATCGATATCCGATATTAACATTGCTCTTATGGCCAATACCCAATACTTACTGATATTGTATGTATAAGGGCTGAAACAATTGATCAGATTAATTGTAATGATTCAATTCTTGAAATAATCATCAACTAATTTCGTAATCAATTAATCGTTAACTAGAGTGTACAGAATCCAAAAAACGGCCATTTGCTGAAAGAACAACTCACACTGGGCAGCAATTCAGTCAAAACTGTACAAAAAATAGAAAAAAATAAGTTCAAATCACTTTGAAGCTGCAGCAACTAATGACAATGTTGTTGGGTTGTCATTTTAACTGTATAGTAAAAATAATTAGCCAATTAGAAACAAGAAACAGGCAGCGGACCAGAGCCTAGACCTAAGTGCAACTGAGGACCCCAAGAGGCCGGCAGATGAACTACAAATTTAAGACAAAAAATGATGCAACTGAAAGCTGTTAGACATGGAGACAGGTCAATGTCTGAACCACAAAAAAATTCCCATAACAACTTTAGAATATCATTGCGGCCTGACAAGAACTTAATGGAGTTATAATGATTATAAAAAGGTAAATGGTCTGTGCTTTATCTTGTTATACAGATGAGCTCCAGTCATTTGGGAATGTGTGTTGAGTCAATGTTTCTGACAATATCCTGTGAGTTATTCCAGTATTTTCTGTGTTTCCGAATGAATAGGGGACAGTCGATATGTGACGACACTTCTTCAGAGCTGCAGCGAATGGCCGCCATCGAAAGGAATTCCCAGAGTTCCTTTCGAGGCAGAGGGGCGCTGTCCAGGTACGACTAGAATATCCATGAGTAGTACTCATTTATGTTTTCATATTGGGTGGCTGTGTAAGCAGTAGGTACCGTCTTATATTTGTTTTCTGTTTCGGAACCAATAGTCAACAGTCCAGAAGTTGACTAATGTTGATCTGTAAAGACTACTTTAACAGTATTCTTGTACTTTGTGTCTGTAGAATAGTGAGTATGGTGATGACTCTGAGGGAATGGGCCCAGAAGAGTCTGGCCGAGGACACGGAGCGGCCTGATTCCTTTTTGGAGCGCTTCAGAGGCCCGGCCAACACGGACCTACAGTCCCCGCCCAGCAGATTCAGCCACACCCACACTGGTTCTGAGGCAGAGAATGAAGTCCAACGCTCCCGACGCACGTAAGACGCCAAACGACCGTCCAACTTAGCCTGCTCTCAATGTGCCGACCCTGATTTGATTCACGCTGCGTTTCTGACTCTTTCTGTCAGGAGGAGGAAGTGGAAGGTTGTGGTTTTATCCCCATCTGATGATGCCTACTACAACTGGCTGATAGTGATTGGAGCAGCGGTTTTTTATAACTTCACCCTATTAGTTGTGAGGTAGGGAGCTGTTTTTGTAATACATATTAAAATAGCTGCGTTACAATTGCGCAAATTAGAATTACTTAATGGAAACACACCACTGTCTAGTGCAATGTTTTTGTGCTAGGATGAGGTGGTTTTTCAGCCTTATCGAAAATGTTTTATTGCGCAAAACTACAACGGAAACATTTTTTTTCTTGTCACGAGTAACCGGATGTTACTACTGACCGAAAAGACGAAGAAGAAGACAGGAAGTGGCAGGAGGAGGGTGACGCAGCATGTTTTTTGAGTGTTCTTTTAATGACCTATTTAGGTACGATTTTAATTGCGTTATTGTGGAAGATCTTGTTGTTTTCAGTTATGTGTATTCAC